TCTTTTAAATTCTTTAAAAAAATATATTTAGATGAAGTTTTTATTTGTTTTATGAAATATTGTATTCACCATAATACTTATTTTGAACAAAACAGCTTTATTTTGAATAAAAAGTTGTTCGTATTAAGTAACATAAAAAAGTAAATTATGAATATAAAGCTAAATTTTATTCTAAGGGATATTTAGTTTTTTCCTGAGAAGGAAAATATAAATGAATTCTTTTTAGCAAGAATAATTTTGTGCATTATGATTTTTTTTTCCTACTGTAACCCAATAAGTTGTTTTTGACGTTTATTTACTGAATTCTTGTTTTCAATTACTTTACTATCAATTTTTTAAAAGTTTTTTAAGTAGCACGATTGCCTGAAGTAAATATATCAATTAGAAATTGTTTGCTAATTTTTATTCTTGTTCTTATTAAAGAAAACCGTTTAGAAATTTTAATTATGGAGTTTATTTGTCTTGTTTGCTATATAAAACACTTCTCGTAATATTTCATCAATAATAAGACAAAAAAGTTATTAAATTGAGGAAAAAATTGTTACAGAATATTAAAAATTGGAACAGTGTATAAATGCAGTATTTCTCTACATCAAATTAAACATATTAAATAAAAATAGAAACAAAAAGATCTAAAAGGAAAAAACTATTTCAGGAACTAATATAGATTTTAACGTCTACAACACTTTCATATTGCATAACATTTTCACAATATTGCATAATATTTTTTTCATACTATATACATAAGTATTTTCAAAACATGAATAGTAAACTAAAAATATAATTTTTATCAGAGAACTCATTCACCGTTTCAATTCCATTTATTTGTAAACATTTTCATGTTTAGTAGTGCCATCTATATTCTCTGAAGTAAACTATATAAAGATATTTTTACTTTTATAATTTATAATTTTATTATTTGTACTTTTTTATTTTAAGATTTAGTTTCATTTAAATGCTTGACAAACATTTATATTTTTTTAGATTATTAAAAGCGAACTATTAATTTCTTTCGAATTTAATTGGAAGTGTAGTTTTACTGTATCTAGATTAATTGCTATTTAATGTTTTTTTTTTAAAAAAAACAGTTTTTTATTTTTAATATGTTTCTAATTATTTACACTTCATGGTTTTTGCTTTATTCCAAGATTAAAAAGGATTTAACCAAAATAGTTTTACATAGAAATGGAAAAGGAGCGAAAGAATTTAGTGCTGCCATCTATCATTGAAAACTTAAACTATACTGTTCATTTTGCATATTTATTTCTCAGATTAATTGTTTATTATTGGGTTTATGATAAATATTGAGACAAAATAATTAGTTTCTAAAATAAAAAAATACACCAAGAGAGATATGCATATTTAAATTTGTTTTTCGAATTAAGAAATTGACATTGACTAAAATTAAATAATTCATTTGCGAAAAATTATGTACTTTGATAATATTTTGAAGTCAGTGGAGGTAACCCCTAAAAGAGCGACCACCCTTCGTTATCGACCATTTTACTGTGGAATGGAGAGTTCTCGCTCCCGAGAGGTTTCGTTGTATAATGCTGCGGTTGTTTCGAAATATGAGTCATACGTTTATATCGTTTGTCGAAATATGACTTACTCAAAAACTACTTACCCTTCAACAGGACAAAATAAAAATTTTCACCAAAATTTTATTGGATGTGCACTAGAACACATGCAGAAGAATAGTAAAAATGATTTTGGAACTTTTTCTCTCCACCAAAACGTAATCCTTACATGAAATTGTGTAGGGACGTTGGTTTTAGCTTAAAAAGGGCAGAGCAGACAGTCAGAGCCGAAACACGAACGTGAACTTTTTAATTATTTTTTAAATTCTATTTTCTTCATCTCTCGCTATATTTCCTGCAAAAATTATCGTTTCAATTTTATTTTATTTTAAGTTTCTTACGATTATTACGTTATGATTAATAAAAAACGGGTTTGCTATTTAAAAAAGAATCTCGAAGTTTTGCAACTTTAAGCATAACCGTGATAAACACTATTCCAGATTGCATTCCTTATAATGCAAAATTTTATTCCGTTATTTCGTTACTAGTTCCGTTATCGGGTTGCACTATTTCATTAGTAATCACTAATTGCCTCCGTTACCTAATAACTTTCTTTGAAATTGAAATATATTCTGACGCAATGAATTTTTTATAAAATCTTTGGAGGTAATAAAGGTTTAAATGAACTGCATTTAATAATTCGCATTAATTACCTTACAAGTGCTGAATATTACTTAGAGTATAATTTATAGAGTATAGAGTACAATTACAATATTACTTAGAGTGTTTTTTATTATTCTTTTATTTTTTTTCGGTTGTTCACATTATAATGAAATTGAATAAAAAAAATTATTTTTAATTTCAATAAATTTTTATTTATCTTTTTAAGATACTTAGCATTTTCATTTTAAATGCTTGATGTATATTATTTATTTTAACGAGAAAAATTCTTTTGAACTCGCAAAAGAACATAATCTTTATGACGTCTTAAATTTGATTGAGGAATTTCCAAAAATGTATAATAGGAAAACGGATGAGTTTAAGGATTGAACTCTGACAGCAAAATTATAAATAAGAGTCATAAGAGATCTCTGACAGAAGTAAAGGCATAAATGTTTCCTCCAAGAGTTCCTAGTTTTAGTTCGAAATTCGTCATTCGACTTGGCATTGCGGAGTGTAAACTTATCAAATAAAATCAATTAAAAATCTCATTACAACATGGGGCATTACTACATGCAATTGCGGTTGATGTTTGACAATTCGAATATATTTCTAGGAGATTATTATTCCTTAAAATTATTCTATGAATTGTGATGCGATTTTCACAATTGGTTTATAAGTTTACTATTTGCAGCGCCCTCTGTCGAAAAAATTTCAATTGAAACAAAAAACTCTGGAAAGAAAAATTTATGCCCTGTCACATTCTGCAATAATCGATTACGTCTAATTTGTACATGCTAAAGCATGAATAAAAGTAAACTAAGCACATAAAGAGATAAACAATAAAATAAAAGCAGATGATAAAATTAGAAGACTTTGTGATAGAACAACAAAGAGTTGTTGATTTTTTAGAGATTAGATTTTGTTGTGGAATTTGAGTTTTCATATATCCCGTTACGGGCACTTTTTCTAGTTTGTTTTATAAGATTATAACTATCCCGTTACGGGTACTTCATATTTCTTACTATTGGTGTTCGTGAATAAAAGCTTTTTTTTTTTTTTCTTACGAAAAACTGAACTGCCATTTATGTAACTTACGATACGTTACAGTACGCTTCAAACTCACCTGAATTTGAAATAAATATTCAAAGAAAACTTTAAATGGAATAAAAATATGATTTACACACTTTCAAAAGAAGAAAATAACATAAGGTTTTATTTTTTTATTTGAACAAGACTACAAGTAACAATAAAATACGCAAACAAAAATGTAAAATAAATTAAAATACCCTAAAACGTATACAGTATAAAGACGAACCACAATAAAATGTTAGCATAAATTAAAAAAAAATTGAATACGAAGGTATTTTTTTTAATATCAACATTGTAGTATAAAGTGCTTGAGACAAAACAACATAAATGCGACTTTACAATGGATTTTGTATATGAAATGAATCTTTACAAATTGAGAAAATATGCGTATATAAAAAGATATTTTGAAAATTAATGACATATTTAATATGCAAAAATCATTAAACATTGGTTCCCAGATATTTAAGAAACATTTGACTATTTTTCAAACAAACTGTAAAATCTTATTGTTTTCTCATTTATAACTTTGTTATTAAAGAAGGGAAAGGATTTAATCTTACGATGTAAAGAATTACTTGGAATAGGTTAATGGTTTTTCATGGAATTTGATAGTTTTAATTTAAAAAAAACAAAACAAAACTGATGATATAGATTTATATTATTTTATTTAATAAAACATTACAGCCGTAGATATTAAAATATTACAGACTTTCTAAAATCTTGAAAGAAAAGTAAATTAAAATAGCAATTGTTTTATTTATTTCTTTAAAAATGATTTTACTTATTTTGCTAAACTTGTATATTCTTTTATACCTAGAAGTAATGTTTCATAAAACTTGAACTTTGAAAAAGTTTAAAAAGAGCTTACTACTTTAAAATTTTAAATCCGGAAACTGAATTTAATAGAAACGTGAATAAGGTGAAAGGAAATTTAATCAAAACTATTAGTTACTGAATAAGGAAATTCCTGTCACATAACTCTCCGTAGAGATTTGTGTGACAAGATTGTGTACAAGATGAGAAATACTTTGGAAGGCGACCCTTAATGATGCATAATGCATACTACTTTACTTTTGGCACATGTAAGTGTTTTGAAAATAGCAAGTTTGCAAGACCAAAAAGAGCTAAAGAATTTGCAAAAACCATTAAGCTATTATAAGTACAATTCTATATTATACAGCACGCACAAATTTACTTAATAATTTGACAAAGAGTATTCTGATATAATTGCTATACGATGAACCAATTTTCGTAAAGAGTATTGTAAAGAGTATTTTATTTATAGAGAGTTGAACAAAACTTTTTTCTTCTTCTTAATAATTGAAAGATCATAAAATAAGACATAGTTACTTTAGAAAATTGTGTTGCGTTTTTTAAAAATAAATTAGCAATATCTGCATGAAAAATTTCGATCTACATGCAAAAAATATTTACGAATGGCAGATAAAAAATTTAATAAATTATTGAATCAATAAAAAATAATGAAATCAATAAAAAAATTAAATCAATAAAAAATTGAATCAATAAAAATACTTAAATCGAAATTCCACATTCAGAGAGAAGTTTGGTAAGTTAGGAATCTACATTTACATGAAAATAATGTTTAAAAAGACTGCACATTTTTTCCCCAGTAATACTGAAATTTCTCATTTATTTTGTTTTTCTAGAACAATATAAACGTTGAGTCAGAGAAGTTGAGTACTTGCAAAGCACAATATGTTTTCTTTAAAATTTTGTTTTTTCTTACCTTTAATATCTTTAATTAAAGACTTTATAATTGCTACTTTTGTGTTTTTGAGAGTCAAATTCTATTGTCCGTATAGTTTGTACAAGTAGAAAATTAGTTTTTATTAAAAGATCCGGAATTGAAGACAGATAAGAAAAAAAAATTACTAAGCAAATTTTCAAACCTGAATCCAGAATATTTCATTGGAAATAGCATACATGCCCCACTTTATAATTTTCCATTCTGATATTTGATTTAACTCCATAAAATAAAAAGATTAATAACAAAATAAAAATTTGCACGTGATGAATTAAGCAGTTGAATTTTTCTGCCGAAGTATATCGGATTCCCCTATATGATTTCACACAATAAGAGCCATAAGTCAATTCATCATATCTATTCATAGTAGTTCATTGAATTTAGATGTTTTTTTTAAATAAAATAAATTTTAATTTATAAGTTCTAGGGGCATATCGTTGAGTCGTTGGAGTACCATCCTAATGTTTCATTCTTGTTCTGTTCTTTAAAATATTCCATAAGTGGTTGAAAGTATTCCAAAATGGGTCCAGCATCCATCTTATTTGTTGCACCTCCTGTCATGATTTTCATTGCTTCAGACCAATGCTCTGAGCTACCAAGTTCCATTACTTGACTATAAAAAGAAACATATATTTAGTTAATTAATGTAGTATAAGAGCTTAAATCCATTCCAGCCAACCCAAAATGCATTATAGGCTGGTTTAGAAATGCATTTTATGCCGGTGGGACACAATGTATGAACATATTTTTATCAATATTACTCCTGACATTATAATCAAAAAGGTAAAATTTGACATTCTAAATAATTTTTTAAATTCATTTTTATACCATAAAGTTGACAGATAATGTGAAATTTTAAAGTTGATTACATTATATTGTAACAATGACGGAATTAAGATTCATGACTGCCTTTAAGTGAATATAAAAATTATAATCAAACGTGAAATGGTAAAAATAAACTTCTTATAATATGGAATGCATTCATGACATAGATCAAAAACAACTACTTGCCTTAGAATTTGACCTGCTTCTTTTGACCTGTAAATATCACATTTGTAAAGAGGACCTGTGTGACCAGCAGCTTCACAGAGGACTTTGTGGAATTGGAATTGAATAACAAAGCTCACAAAGTATCTAAAATTATAAAAAAGAATATTTTGAAACAGAATTCAAATAACTCAATTATTTATAATAAATCTTAAAAATATTCAAAATGACAAAATTTTTTTTGATTGTCCATATAAAGTTATTAAAATTGAAACTTAATTAACCATTTGATTTAAAGTTGAAATTTTAAATTTGAGACTTATTTTCTTGCATTTTTGTTGTGAATTATAGGCAATTGATATTTCCTAACTTTTTAATATCATTTAACTCTTGAAATTACATTAAATTCTCTAACCCCATCCTCAATAAAGGAGTTCATTAAATATTTTATTCCAAGAAAACACAATATCATCATTCTTAAGAAACATTTCATTGTCAAAAACATTTTTACGGCACAATAAATATAAATTAATGAGGTGTTTGAGGAATAAAAGCACCACAATATTTTTGGCGTTTTAAATTATCCATGAAGTCATTGGCAATCCATTTAAAATTTAACTTTTCTTTTTCATTGCATTCTGGCTCAATTTTTGTTAGATAGCCGAATAATGGATATCTTATTTTAATGCACAGCGATTGGTCTTCGCTTTTTCTATTTTTATAATGTTAACTTTTTGTGAGTATAGTACAAATTCAAATACTTCAGTAGAGAAATGAAGTTGCAACTATATAAGAGCTTATAGTAAGGACAATAATCTTCCTCGACAATTATTACGAGACTATCAACCAAAATAAAAGAAAAAAGTATCATTAAAATCTTTTTACACTAGAATTCCAAACTCTTCTTATGGACTTCGCATAATTAAGAAAAATAAGTATTTCTACAATGCATTTGCATTTCTCAGAAACTAAATTATATTATTGAATTCTATTCCTTACTATTTTTCTGGTTTTAATGTTTCAGGTTTAAATATTGTCTCAGAAAGTCGGTTTTCTAAAGAGACACATGTAAGAACACTTGAAATGTAAATAAATTACCGTGCACTATAAAAATTCTTATACAGTACAATCTACTAAAAATCATTTATCAAAAGCCTAAAACAAAATTGTAAAGAATTAAAAACGGATAGTTTCGTTAAAATTACAAGAGAAAATATTAATGGGAGACTTAATAATTTTAGAAAAATAGGGTAAGTAAAACTCTGTGACTGTCCGACTTTGGACATTTTGCTTTTTTAGGTACTGAAATCACTGGCGGTACATCCAAACATTATTTAACCACAACCAAGAATGGCTATCCTTGTTTTTCAGGACACTATCTTATAACGGCCATGTTAGGAGTGCCCAGTAATTTTGATTCCAGTTAGAAGACGTGGACAGCACTTGAGCTGGTACCTCTCTCTTCAAACTTCCACACCACAGCAAATAAGGGACTTTAAGCCATGACAGACTTAGCATGTATCTTGCTGCATATGCACGCTGGATCGAACTCACAAACACCATCGGAGGGAGTTGTCGTCTTCACCGACTACGCCACTGGAGTGCTGGAGGACATAATACCAGAGTGGACCTTTGACACTATCTGAGAAAGTGCAACTCTACTAGACACCCATTTTTCAGCATGGAGAATCAAACCGTAGTCTTATTAGGAGAATACTATTCCCACCAAACAGTGACAAACCACTAGACACCCACTTTTCAGCATGGATAATCAAACCGTAGTCTTATTAGGAGAATAATATTCCCACCAAACCGTGACAAACCACTAGACACCCACCTTTCAGCATGGAGAATCAAACCGTAGTCTTATAAGGGGAATACTATTCCCACCACACTGAATCTTCAGTTATTTGTATATTAAACAAATAACAATAGATTGAAATACCTGAAAGAAAGGCCCTTTAGAAAAATGGAGTCTGAATTTTCCATAACTTGTTTAGATGCGTTTGATGAAGAACTAATTCAACAGAGATTCTTTTTTTTCCTTTTTGTATTTTTACTGTGCATGAGGTATAGAATGCATTAATTAAAATTATTACATCCATTTCTACACATCAAAGTTATTACATTTATTTCTATTTATTCCATAGGTTGGAATTTATATACATACTACATCTATTTGAATATTTGCTCACTTAGTATTTATGACACATATTGCATTGACATGTATAAGGATTTAATTGCCCTTTCAAACTTTATATGTTGCTTTCGCAAAACAGCTTTTTCCTTATCCTTTCTCTTAATATCTTTATAGATTCCAACCGACTTTATTAAAAATTTAACATTATATTAACAATTAAATGATAATAAACACTTTCACAATAACTGATTGTCAGCAGCCAAGGAAGTTCAAAAATTAAGTGACCGACGGTATAAAGGGGCAATGCTGTCAGCATTGCACACCAATCATCATTACTTAATTGATAAAATAGTATTATTTTAATATTATAAAATGCATAGTTAATTTAAAAAGAAAAACAAGCAAGTAATATTCCTAAGATTCAACAGAGTACACGAGTTTCTAAATGATGTGATATTTTATGCAAGCTTTTATATCTGTATCTTCAAAATAAAATATCTTTAATTATAAAATAAATACCAGATCATTGGACAGAAAAGATATAAGCAACATTAAATACCTACGGAAGAAACACACCACAAGAAAGTAAAATTGCTTTGAAATTAAATTGCAAGCTTGGTGAAAACTCCATTTCTATTACAATGTTTTTCCATTAGCAAAAGAAAGAGCAATAAAATTTAACAATGCCTAAATTATTACCCAACAATGTACTTACCTTATGTAAGGAACGTTACCGGGTACGTGATATTTTGCACCTGGATCGAAATCAGTGTCTTCTCTCTTGACAGGTGGACAGATTCCTTGATACTTAAGCCTGTTAGGACAAAGAGATAGATTTTATCGATAACAACGCTTTTGAAAAAGTAACAATGCCGTATAACATTTCGAAACATGTCTCAATTTGCTGTGAATGTGTGAAAAAGTGAGATTTCGGAATAAAACTCAGAAGACTTATAATACTTAATTAAAGTTTTTTTGTGATCCATATGTTTTTTCTCTTATAATCGAAGAAGATGCGCTTTCTTAAAAATCATTATGTTTTGGTTGAATTTGCTGTTGTTTCTAATAAGACTTGAACAATCCAAGCTTGCTAATGGCTTTATTCGAATTAAGTCAGGAAGGTGCGCCTTTCGTTTGACAAGACAGTACCACTAGGGTGAAAGTACTTATTAACTCAGAGCTCCCCCCCCCCCCGATGAATGGCAATACCACTCATTCCCAAATTGGATATGGGGAAGGAAATTTTCTTTAGATTCTTGTATTCATGGTATTGCTCAGTGATCGACTATAGGACATTGAATCCCCCAGATTTTATCAGCACGTATATCGCATGTATACTGTAGGTCTTATCAGAGTAGGTCTTATTGGAGTCGTGTATAAAATTCCGGCCCTTCGGACCGCAGTCCGTTCTCTTACTACTGGGCTATCAACGCCCTTTGGGTTCAATTTAAAAATAGAAACAGTTCTCCAGTTTTTATAGTTATTCAGTTTTGTTTCTAAACTTCATATATTCGTATAAATATTCATGAATGAAATTATTGATTATATGGAGTTGTATCTTTGACACACATGAGAGGAGCACTGATTTTAAAATAGTTTTCCACTGATGTTTCCACTGATAGTTTTCCACTGATTATAAAATTTAGTCCACTCTCTAAACTTGAGTTAAAAAACTCGAATGATTTATTAGATATTCATTTTTTACTTTAGCATGTTATTACAGAGATGGTTGCAAGACATTTTCAAAAATAGAACTATCATTTTTTTTATTATTCAGCAGACCATGAGTTGTATTATGTAATTTTCGGTAATCTATTCATCAGAAAATCACGTAATTTCTGACAAAACGTGGATTTTTAAATGTTTAATAAAATAAATATGCATTAAAACAACCAACGTAAAATGTATGCAGAGACCAAGCGAGTAACAGATTTTCATTTGTCACACTAAAAAAAAATTGCAAGTCTCTATTTTTCAAATTACATAAAATAAAAAAAAGATATTTTTGAAAACTAAAATAATACTTTCTAATAGTTATTTTAAAATAATCTTTTAAGAAATTCTAAATATTTAAGACCTACATGTAAGTACTCTCTTACTTTAAATTATAATAAATAAAATTAAAAGTGAATTTTACTTGTAAATTTTTTTTTTCCTTTTAAAATGAGCAGCTTTGAAATAAATTATTAAAGTATCATATTTTTGCGCATAAGAAAAATTAGATTCTGATATTTAAACTTACTTTCGAAGTCTAAAGTTTTAATGAAATCGTTAGTGTAGAAAATATTTCAAGACTAATCTTGTAAAATTTATATTCTAAGAGAATGGGAATAAAAAGTTAATGAAACATACTTGTAGCTCATTATAAAATATCAAAATGGTCTCAAAGAATTAAGTGTCGTATCTAATTTTATACTTCGCTTCGAAAAATTTATTTTTACATGCTAAGAACATTTTTAGATTATAAAATTTTCTTTACGTTAGAATTAATTTTGTTTAATATTAGTTCTTTCTTGTTTAGTTATAAATTTATTAATGTTACAAGCCGAATTTTGTTAATTAAAAGTACAGCATTAGCATCTCATTATGTATTTAGACATTTTTGTTAAAACAGATTTAGATCATTATCCTAGTAATTGCACAGGGGAACAAATCTTTTGTTGCATTTATACAAATACTTGATCATGCTTAATTCGGGGGTGGATATTTCAAATCTTAAACTACTTTTGCTCCTAAAGCTACAGTTTTTTTTGAAAAATTACATTTTTAATCTATTTTTTGTCGAAATGTACAAGTTTAAAAACGTTACATATAAAATGGGTCGCTTAAATGTTGCAACAAACTTTCAGGAGAGTCTGGTACATGATCTGGATTAAAAAATCATGGGAACCCATGTTCGAAAATGTCATCACACGTGACTAGGCTCTTTTCCCCTATAATGACTTGTTCAGAAGCATACGAAGAAGCAGTTCATAATAAGGAAGCGCCCCTAGTGGCGTAGAACGTGATTTCAGGGCATGGGTTCCTATTTCCTATACAATTTTAATCCCGATGATGTGGTCTAGAAGTTTGTAGCAATATTTATGCAAACACCTGTTATATATAATTTCTCAAATTTGCCCATTTCAACAAAAAATTAACTAAAAATGTCGTTTAAAAAACTGTAGCTTAGAGAAAGAGAGAAGCAGATCTGAAATAAGAGGTACAAATTCTTATGCAAAGGAAAAGAAAGAAAAAAATTGTTCCCCAATTGTTCAAACATTGTTCTCTGAAAAATAAATGTTATTTATTTTTTAGTAATCAATCAGAATATACCTGCACATTCATAAAATAAGCATTTAATCATATTTAATGAAGGTTTTTTCAATGCTTGCTTTTCCTAAACTGCAGTATTTATATTAATGCTTCCTGTGTTAACATAAAAACGAATCATCTGAGTATTTATTTTGCGTATATTCTAAGGACAATTGGTTTAACGTTAAATCATAATATTGGTATTTTGAACTATAATGCCATGGAAATTTGCCACAACTTTAAAAAGATGTTAAATTAAACCATACTCTAGTTCTAGTTGAACTATTATATTATGATTCAATTTAAAAGAAATTTGGGGACAATCTTTCTTGATTAATATTAGGGTTCAAAAACTCTTCAAAGTTCTTAACTGTATAAAATCTCATACAATTTAGCCTCTATATTATAAATATTGATAAATTATTACGAAGATCATTACAAGAATTACGAAGATTTAATGCTTTGTATTTCTTTATGGTTTACAATAACTTAATTCTTATAAATTGACAATGCATAAAGTCAAGCCTATGCAAGTTGTTTCATCTGCAGGTCTTAATCACATGGAGAAAAAAAAGTCTGGTGAAGTTGCAGTACTGTATAGTAAGGCCATTTCCGCTACAAAATCCATAATTCTGGTTAATAAAACCGAAATTTATAGAATTTTAACCATTATTTTGGTAATTTTTCCTCTTGTATGGTAACAGTTAGCCGGAAATACCGGATTTTAAAATTTCAGTTCTTATTACCACACACTTAGTAAAAAATACTAAACTGAAAATTCCATTTAGCTAAATCATTTTTGTGCCATACTTTTAAGTACCAAATATTACCAAATTTCATCATATAATATAAAACCATATCTCATTGTTAATTTTGCCAAAATCATTACCAAAGCGCTACCTTAAGAATTGTCGCTCTTTTTGTTGTTCCCATTGAGCTCGCAACACCTTAAAGTTTACCATATTCTGGTAAACTTTATGGTATTCTTTTGATAATACTTTTTTTCTCATTGCAGAATTGTTTGATATTGTTACAGTCCAAAGACCTGATTTAGAAAATTAGTTTTCGCATAATTGTCCAAACATTTTAACTATAAATATATTTAAAGTTATTATTTTTGAAACTTAAAATTATTGGAATTTTCAGTAAATTTTTTGTTTCTGAATATGATAAACCTAATGTGATTAACTTACCTGAGACCCCACCATTTTGTATTCATTTCTTCGGGTTTTATTTCCCCACTGAAGAGACCCCATCTCCAAAGATCAATAAGGTAACCAGATGGTAAGAATGAAACTTTGTCTAAAGCAGTTCGCAGCAGGAAGTTCAAATCACCCTCTAGAAGAAAATAATGATTAGAAAAAGAACAAAAAAGAAAAAAAAACAATTTATTTAGCACTTTAATTGATTTTTTCACACCTATCTCCTTAGTTATACCTATCTTTTCACACCTACCTCCATAGGCACTGTTTTTTAAAAGTTTTTTCAGTTTTTTTTTCAATTAAAAATGACACGAGAACTGTTTTTAAATTTGTATTGAATTCTTTTTGAAATGTTTTTTTTAGTTCTATTCTCTATAGTTTTTTCTATTTAATTCTATTGCACTTATACATATTTAAACAAATGTCACTCTTAATTGAAAAAAAATTCAGAATTTTTTTCGTAAATAATACTAATAAACTTATCTTTCTTTATGCTTTTGACATTAACAATGCATCAAACGCAAACTTGTTTACTTGAAAATAAGAGCAAAAATAGTATTGAAAATAGCAGTTACTAAAAAAAGAGGAAACACTGTCACTTTAGGTAGAAATAGAAAAAAAAGTTTAAACGAAAGAAAAAAGTAAAATTCGGAGAATTCATGAAAGCTGTGCTGCTTAAAAGCAACAAATGGGTAAATAAAGGTTAAGAACGTTCACGGTTTTCTGCCTCTGTTATAGGCCTAACATATTTCTATTATTTAAGAACTTAATTTATATTTATTATCTGATTTGATCTTTTTCTCAAGGAAAATATCCAAAGTAACATTTTCTGAGTGGAAATAAAATTCTCTAAACTAGTTATCTTTCGACAATTGCTTAATACATTTTCATAAATATTTACTACCTTTAAAGTTCTCTTGCTAAATGTTATCTTTTTAAAAGAAACGCGTATTAAATTCCCACGGCAAACGCATTTTAAATTTTTGAAGTTCTTATTAATAGAGAATCCAAACTTTGAAGACAATCAATTTTCTAATCAAAATTATGGATTCTTTTACTTACATTTGGCTACCGAGCTAACTAGAATTTAAATTACTGTTAGCAGGAGGCCTCAAGTCTTTTTCTAGCATATCTCAATTCTAGTTAAAAATTCTTTCATTGAAAATAATTTTTGTTCACAATGATTGTTTTTGAATCAAATTATTGATTATTTGCATCTTCCGGATGGTGATTAATGTTTAGTAAATGTATGGTAATTCATTGAATAGTCTAAATAGTTTTTGATCAGTATTAAATATGGAAGTAAGTGTTTTGATTTATTCACTGACCAATTATCTACTGAACTATAAAATTTCTCATTTATGAACTAAATGTTTATTTCAGATCTGGGTTTATCTTTGTTTCAAAAAAATAAAAAAAATAAAATAAAAATAAATCGCACCAAATTTCATAATAACATCTAACGCCTTAAAATAATCGATTTCATGTAACCTATTAATTGTTAGATTTAGATTTATTCCGAAACCTGAGGTTTATTATTTATTACCTGGATCATCGGCTACTTCTTCTAGAAGACCTATCTTTTGCAGATGTGTAGGAGTTGAGACAGACAAAGCAAGGACGTCTCCAATTGCCTCATGGAATCCTGCAAAGATTTTATTTTACTCATTTCAAGCTTTAAATCCGTAAAAATATCTAATATTGTCTTATTGTTATATTAACCAAATATTAACTGATCAAAGGTAATTCACTTCTCAATATTTTTTAATTTAACGCATAAAGTTTTTTTTGTAAATTAGAAAACTATATGAAACGGAAAGCGTAGAACAAAACGACTACCGAAATTTTCGGATGATTTTTTTAGAAATTACGACTCCAAAATGGTAACCTATAAAATAAAGTATTAGGAAATGTAGTGAAAAATTATTACAACTTTGTTATCTTTAATTCCATATTCCACACTTGTGAGACACTATCGAATAAAAGAGAGCAATTACATATAAGTTCAAGTAAGAGTTTTAATAAAATATTTTAATCTCTTTGCTTTAATACCATTTTCATTTTGATCAAAACTGCTTTAGTTCATTTAGTTAATAAAACAGTTTGAAAAACATCGATAGTTAAAAAAGTTCGTTTTTTTAAAGTATTACACAAATAATATTATAGTTATTATTTATTGCTTAATTATTCAGAAAAAATAACTATTTACTTTTTAGACTGAAATTAGAATAATAAAACTAATTTTAGTAAGAAATAGTAAATATTGCTTGCAATTAGAAAAAAATCATGATTATTATAATTTACTAAGCAATTTTTTGTTATTTCTAACAAATACTTTGATATTCGGCAAGCTTTCAAATAACTCCACAGAATAATTTTCAAAATATGCATATACGAAAATGAAATAAATCTTTCTTAGCTTTTTTTCCTCTTATGTTTCATCGTTTAACATTAAACATTTACATTAAAAAACATTAAATTTTCTCCTTACTTTTTTTTTTAAAAAACTGAAATTTAAATATGCAACAAATATTAATTCTTAACGTAAATGCGCATCTTAAGATAGTATCACCTGTTGATATTAAATATTACCTGGATTTGCTCCTTCTCTGAAAACGTTTGGTTGTCTTGCATATTGTAAGAAATACTGAATATGGCCCATTTCATGATGAACTGTTATTAAATCTTCCATAGTAATGTCTGTACATTGCTTAATTCTGAAATTATGAATTGCATTTCAAGTAATTATCACAGCTGTGAATTTTAACATATCTCTGATGATCTTAACGTTAACAATATTTTTAGGATTTCAAACTAGTATAGTACGTGTTAAAAATGAGTCAAAAATGATATTTTTTTGTTACTTCAAAGTAATATTTTTTTTAAAAAAAATCAGAACCTAAGTTTTAAAAAGTATGTTTTGACTTATACATGAAATTTGAACGAACCTGTAATCTTTTCCATTGCAAAAGTCCCATGCAGATGCATGGCAAATAATTTCTCTGTTTTTTGGTTTTTCAATAAGAGAGTGTTTCCAAAACTCGGCTGGCATGGGTTTTAAACCCAGTGATGTAAAAAACTCTTCGGATATTTGAAACATCTCCAAAGCACTTAGATTCTGAAAATAAATATTTAAATTAATTAAATTGTCAAGGTTTTTGGGATATAGCGAAGAGAATTATTTTCGTTAGGGAGATTTAATTGAATTAGACAGATATATGATTGGAAATTGAATATATTTTTAACATTTCATTTAAAAATTACCTGTATTAAAATTTGTACAAATACCAACATCGAAATTTGCAGATACTCATAAAATAAAGTACAGTGATAAAGTCCAAGTTCGGATAATTGAGTTAGATTGCTAAAAAAATAAAATTTTCATTGGATTATTTAAATTTTCATTAATTTTAGGGATTTCTATTACTTGAACAATATAGAATACTCGTACAATAAATATTCACTGCGTATATTAATAAATTAGGCTTTTATAAAGTCATTGTCTTCAGCCATTATATATTCATTAAGCATTGATAATTGTAAGTATTATTTTAATATTTTTAAAAAATGAAAGCGTAATTTTTAAAAGTCTAAGGTAATTTTATAGGACATTTTATAAATTAATAAGTGTTTTGGTTATGCGATTTATTATACTTATCAAAGAAGTTAGTTTTCAGAGGTTTCAAGGACCGACAATGAATTACAAACGGAAAATAGTGTTTTTGAATAACCTATACCAAAAAATGTAGCAATAAATTTGTAACTTATAACAATTGTTTTGGCTATCAAGTGTAATAATTTTAAAAAATTTCGTAAGCCTATCTTAAATATTTATAATGATATGGACATTTTTGTAAAGAAATTTTTTTTCCTTACTTTTTTTCAATAACTTTAAAAATATTAAATAAAATTAAACAACATTTTTGGACCATTGTAAAATTAATTACAAAATTATTACTTTAAAATTTGAGAAAAATTTGTTCAAAACTGCGCAAGATATGAGTAATTAAAGAAGGTTCTCTTATACTGCGCAAACGAGGGAAAAATTTAAATTTGTTTTTTCTTAATTTTGCTGTGAATCGTGTGATTGCAGTGAAAAAAGTTTCAAGCAATTTTCTAAGTAGTTTTTGCACTTTTTTTTAAAAAAAAAAGCTAGAAAAAATAAGTGGTTTTCTACAAATTTTATTTTCTACTATTAAACACGATTTTTTAAAAATGACACATACATTGTTGGGGATCATCCCCATAAAAATATCTTTTCCTTCGCATGTTCTCTTTCCTTATACAATCATATATCGGTGTATGAGCGTTCATTGTAAGGTGTTATCATTCATTACTTAATTTTGTCTTGTGATGCAAAATAATATTTGTAGAAAACCCCTTTCAACCCCATCATTTTGAGTTTTTTTTTAAAAATTACAAAGACTAAATACAAAATTGCTAGAAACAAATTAAATTTTTAAGATACCCAGATCAGATTTTTTTCATTAGTTGCCAAATATGATTCACCACAAAATTAATTAAAAAAAATTGTTAAATGTCTTTTCGATCATGCACAGCATAAAAAAACTACTTTAATTTTTTATATATTGCACAGTTTAACCAATTTTTTTTCGTAATTTTAAAGCAAAAATTTTGTAATTAATTTCAAATTACTCTAAAAATTTCGTTGAATTTTGCTGAATATTTTTAAAGTTATAGCAGAAAAAAAAGCAAGACAAATTTTTATTTTATTTTATAACAATGCCAGTATCTCCAGAAATATTTAAGCTAGACTAACGAAGTTTTGGACATTTATTGCATATAACCGAAACAATTTTTACAAGTTACAAACTTATTGCTACTTTTTTTGGCTTAGGGTGTTTAAAAACACTATTTCCCGTTTGAATTTTACTGTCGGTCCCTCAAATTTATTTAAACTTCTTTGATAAGTATGAGAAATTGCGTGATGCAAATACTTCTTAAGTAAGAAAATGGTTCTTTTAGTATTTATTGAGAAATATGAACAAAAAAGTACAATAGTGTTTCCATCATTTTGTCCAACCTCTGCATCTCAATGTTAGTATAAGAAACGTTAAAAGAAATAACATATTTTCTAAAGAATTTATTTTGTCAGTGACATTTAAAAAAAAATTAAATACAAGACATTTTGAAATAAATCAATTTCAGTGGGATTTTGTCCACCCAAATGACTATAAAAACCAGACAATTGTTTACCTTAGCTTCCATTATGGGTGTGACATCTACAGAGGGTTTTCCCAAGTAAGGTTGAGCGATGTCCAACAGTGACACCCACGATTGCGCCCACATATTTCCTAAGTAGGGAAAAATAAGAATATTTTAGTTAGGGGTGGACAGTAATAGTTTCAGATATCGAAAAAAATGAAATGTTTTGATGTCGAGACCTAAGATGACCTTTTGCTGCGCCTCTATTGCAAAAGATCAAAGCGTTATCAAAAGATGTAAAAGGGAACTAGGTTGAAAAGGCCATGATGCTCCTTATTAGAAAAGTTGTTTCTGTCGAGTTATTATCACATTTGAATTCAAATTCATATAATGAATGGAAATGTGTTTTTATTGCATAATTTAATAATGAATGGAAATGTGTTTTTCATTATATTAATGCAATTTTGAGAATTTAATGGATATTTCCAAGTGATGACTCGTTGTACGGATTTTACAATGTATTATAAAATTTTTCTCGAATGACTCAATACTGTATTTTACACAATTTTTTTTGGATAAAAAATCAAGCTTTTAGTTACGATGTTACGGATAAGGGAAAATATGTGTCACGTGACAAATTCTTTGACACTAATGATATTATAATTGGCAAGAGTATCTTAGAAAGTTGGGAGTCGAGAACATTGCGGTTTTTCGTAACATGCTTTCCTTCCTAAGTAGGTAAAATCTGAGATTAATGAAAAAGTTTGTTAAGTTTGTGTTTTTAAAAGTTTTTTTTGTGTTCTTAAAAGTTTGTGTTTTTAAAATAATTAAAATACTCCTTAGAAAGTGTTAGTCCACTCTTTTAAATGAAATACATTTAATCATTTAATCAAATGTACATTTAATTAGTGATTTATTGACTATTGGTACAACAGAATTGATTATGTGACACTGTTTTCTAAGAAAAAGAAAATCACCAATGTACTTAAAACTACTTGTTTTAAAACTTTTATGCCCAAGAGTGTATAAGAAAAAAAAGAATACTTCGAAACAGTTTAATTTTTTAAATACGTAAGTTAAAAGGAATAATTGTTACTTAAAAATTTTATTTGAAAATGGTGATTGATGATTAAATTTTTCGGTTGGAATATTCTTATTTATAAACATTTTGATTTTTATAAATGAAAAATTCTTAATTTTAGAAATTATTGTTTGCATACAACTTGTTATTCGAAATAAATGTATCGAGTTTTTCATTTATGCTGTACACATTTTTATTGTGAGTAAAATAAACAAAGAAAATAATTCTTTTTTCTTAAGAAAGGATTTTTTTTAATATTTTTTTTAAAAAAACTAATGATGTTTTTACTTAATGGTATTTATATGATTAGCAAATTAATCTATCAGAAAACTGTAAATTACATAATATATAAATAAAATATCTTGTACATGTTTATTTATGTTTATTTTTGAGTTTTGTTTTGTGTTTTTCTATGTTCCAGTATTTTCAAATATATTGCTTTTCTGAATTTTTTTTTATCTCAAATAAAACGTACTTTAGCTGAAAACAATATACTGAAAACTTTTTTTTACCAGCAAAACTTACCTACTGATACATTTATTTCTAACAAGGATTGATGATGGTTTAACAATATGAATCAGTGATGCGATTTTCCGTTTCCTTTTAAGAAAGGAAACTCTCGTATTATGATTTAATGAACGGACAATCAATTATTTTGTAATTAAGATAGGATATAAACATTGATAAAAACAAATACAATAATGAGGTTTTGATGTATTGATTTCCAACGTTGTAAACCAAAGAATTTGGTGTCAGCTAATGTTTGTGATTATTCAAAATAATACGAAATATTCATCTGAAACCGGTGAAAAATAAATGTGTATACACAGTGAATAGAAAAAAGTACATATATAGAGGAAAGCTACACTGTTAGAAATGTTTCGGAAAAAACGGTTAAATAACAATTTATTGAATGGTTATTTTACTATATTTAATCAGAACAGTCAAATAACCATAAATAAAATGGTAATCAAACTGTTAAGTTTGAGAAAAACTGCTTATTAGCTGCTTTCACATAATGCGGTTAAACAACCAGAATCTTATCTCACCAACTAGAACCACCTTATGAAACTACTTAGTTCTTTGCAACTGAGTACATATCATAGCCGAGTGGGCTTATCTGTCAATCTCATGACCGGCAGAACTGGAGTTCGAGTCCTAGTGTTGACACCACAATATTCCCTTCAACACATGAAGAATTTCCAGTGTCCGGCAACCTCCAATGCCCATTACCTTACGGAATGCAGAGCTCCTATGTCTAGTTAAATAATTAATTATTTTTTACTTTTATGAAAAATGCTGGTTGTAAATGGTTGCAAAATTGTATTGTTTTGTATTTATGGTTTTATAACAATACTTTTTGTAAATGTTTTCAAAACCATAAAGGAAAAAAATGGTCTTTACCGTAATTTTTACGGTTAATCGGATGGACAGACAGCTGCCAGTTATTGTACCATAATTTTGAAAGGAAAATTTTAATAGTGTAGTGTATGTTGGACACTTGCGAAGCATAGCTTTCTTGGTCAGTAACGGTCAACTTATAGAGGGGACGGATATTTTTTTTTTAATAATTTCTGATATCATGTTATTCTTAAGTATACCATGCTAATTATTTTCATGTTATTTATATATTTTTATAAGTTACTAAATAAATTCTAAAATAAAATATTTTTTCAACAATTTTCCCAATCCAGGAGACAAGGGAACTCTTGGATCAGGTACTGGGAAAAATTTGCCTTCGTGGAGGACTTTTTGATGGAACTAACCCGCATTTGCATTACATGAAGAGGAAGATAACGAGAACCTCGCATGGTTAGCCGGAAAGCAAGGGGACTCTAACTCATGATCTGCCTACTACTAAGGATATTTTAAGTCAGCAGAGTGATTGGTGCAAGCCAGATGCAGAGTTCATATCGAGCAGCCATCACTGGGATTCAAATCCGGTTCACCTCATTGGAAAGCGAGCACTTTATTTCCTGAGCCATTACGGCTCGATTGAGGTTTGACGACCACTCTAAAATGCTCAACTATTTCAGTCTTTAAATTTTATTGAACCTCACACTATAAGCAAAGTTACAAAATGCTTTAAGCATAATAAATCTTTCGGGATTTTTTTAAGTCATATCAGTAATAACTATTGCTGTTGGGATGATCTAAATTTAACTTTTTTTGAACATGAAAGAGACATGAAAATTAAGCCAGCATGCGTCTGATATATTTGTGAAATGATATATCTTAAACCAATATTACCCATTTTATTTCCAGTGTTATTTGTTGGACAATTTTAGAGAGGAGCTGATTTTTGATTTTTTCTATCTTCTAAGTTGTCTCTCTATGTTTTTTTTTGTTGATGATAATTGATGTTTGTAATTCTCAAGACGATCTAAGACTCTACACATACCTAACTTTGAGTGATTTATTAAAACTCAGATTACTAAAATAGACTTTTTTTCAAATTTTAACTTTCAAATTCGTAAAATTTAACTATGCCTGAATTGCTTCTGGTGCACTGAATGAAATGTAAAAGTTTTCCGAATGGTTCATAAATTGGCGCAAAATAATTGGTATCTTCTAAATAGGCTTAATTTGTAAAAGATCTGTCTAAATTTTTGTCTAATTTAAATAATAAAATAAAAATTGCGTCTAAATTTTTGTGTCAAGTAAAATACGAATTTTATTTTTCAAACTCAAATTTTGTTTCAGGTGATCAAATTTACAGACATAATATGTGAAAATACTCTATAAAATTTCCATGCTTTATTTCCAGAAACATTTCATTTTCTCCTGAATTTCTATCGGATTCCTGTGAAAAAAATTTTTTTTCTTCAAAAGTTAACTGAATTCAACAATCGATTTTTTTTAGTGTGAGTGATAACGCCTTTGTATATGACTTAATGCAATGTCAGCGTAGTTGAGCGGTCCAGACAAATTGGAATTATCAGGTTTTTGTCCTTCTGAAAGGTGAATAACTGTAAAAATGTGCATTGTAATTTAAGGTTTTAATTCTCATTCAAATGCTTTCTAAATGTCTCAAGACCATTCTAATATGTTACTTCCTTTTCCGTATTTAATTATATAAATTGCATAAAAGTTCATGTTTACAAGTGGAAATATTAGTTGCTTTGTATACTAGAAATGCTTCAGTAAATCTGTTCTAATCACTGGAATAATCTTCATTCTTACTACACAAGAATATTTATAATATTCTAATTACTTGAACTTTAAATAACATTTTCAACAACATTTAGTAGTTACACTTTTTAGCAGTCACGTTTCAAATTTGCTGATTTGTTACAGAAACTTTTTGTATTTTTAATAGAAAGATTTATGAATTCTTCAGAAATGTTAGATGGTGATTCCAGGAAAATTATTGACTTTTAGTACGATAGTTCTAAATTTTTGCAAAAATTTTCATTCTATTTATTTATTTGTTAACTGCCCATCATTTTTCAAGAATATTCTTGAATTTTTTGGGTGGCATTCAGTTTGTTATTTTGTTTTAATGCCAAGTATATGTTAATTTCAAATTAGTCGTATATCAGCTCCGTTTTCAAAACTTATTTTTTATTATTTATTACTTTCAATTAAGTATAAATTTTTATTGAAAACTTGAAAGTTAAAAACTTTTATTTTTACTGATAACTTTTATTGATAACTTTAACATTAAGGAATAAAATGAATCTCTAGCAGTTTTAACTTATTTAAAACAGTATTAATGTGTGATCTTTTAGGAAAAAAAAATAGAAAGTGTATCAAAACTTAATTGCAACCATACGATTTATATTTTACCCAAAAATAAATAAATGAAATTATTTCAATTTCCATCCACGCATTATTGATTCGCTAATTGGTAAACGTTTTAGATTTCTTATGGGTGACTATTGCAGTTCAAAATTAATGATATAGAAAATTATATACCAATTGCTGTTGCCAATAAGTAGCTTCTTAATATATCTATAATTATTTTACTAGGCTGTAAGGACACGGAAGAATTAACTTGAGACTTTAGACGATTATAATTAAGAATATATTTTAAAAACAAAATTTATTTCCCACAGACTATTATTCGAACTATTGACTAATGTATATAATTATAAAGATTATGACTGCAAAGACTTAAGTTTTGATTTGAATGGTAAATAATAATAAACGAAATTATTGCTCATAGTTCCATCGCTCTAAATATTATCATGTGCCAGTGTTTATATTAAATTATTTTAAAGAAAAATGCATCCTAGAACTTGCAGGTAACAATCATTGATTATTTTTAAAGAAACTGGTTGAATTCATTTTTATGAAATTGATTCATTGGTTTTTTTTTTCTGTGAACAAATGATAAAAAAGTCTAAAATGAAAATAATTCAGTTTCTAGTATTAATTTTACTTATATCCAGTGTTGAATAGCCGACTCAATTCTGAGTTAATGACTATCAATTTTCAACTCCGAAGCCTTGTAATTTTGAACCCAACCTCTAAGACAAGGGAACTCCTGGATCAAACAATGGGACAAACCCTCACTTACGCAACATAGAGAGGAAAAATACGAAAACCTGACACCGTTAGCCGGACGGCAACAGGCCGGGAGCAGAATTCGTGTCAAGGATCCACCTCTGGTATTCGAACCCGGGTCACTTCTTTGAGCAGAGAACTCCCTGTCCACTGAGCCACAGCCGCTTTTAATATTGATATTGCAAATAAATAAAATATTATGATTATTTTTTATTTAAAAAAAACAACTACTTGTAGACCATTACATACGAGGCTCATTGGAGTAAGTATGAAAATAAAACAAAAACGATTCTTAATAAAAGAATAAAAAAGGTATATGACTTGTGGTTTTTCAGCAAAGGTATATTCATAAACATGGAGAAGAATTTTTGGGGAAAATTAGCAACTGAATGATAATGACATTTCTGATCAAAAGAACAACAACATAATTTTGGTAAATAAAACCAATATATACGGTATTTAAACCATTTATTTTGCTACTATTTCGTTCCATATGGTAACGTTTTAACAGAAATTTTGATTTTCAAAATTATAATTCTCATTACCACACATTTAGTAAAAAATATAAAACTGAGAGTAAATTTAACTGAATAAATGATTTTTATGTCGCGCTTTTAGACATCATAATTTTTCCATATTTACCAAATTTAATGACATATTATAAAACCATTTTTTATTGTTAATTTTACTGATTACCAAAGAACTTCCATAAAAAAATCGAGCTCATTGGTATTTCCGTAGAGCCAGAAGCACGGAAAATTTTACCGTATTCCGGAAGTTTTGACCATACTTTTTTCTCAGTGTAGCATGTAAATATTTAACTTGAATGTTTCAGTTTTTAGCTCCAAAAAATAACTAAGTCCGCCAGTTCATTACCGAAGCAGTGTACGATAATTACTGGGGTTAAATCACTTGCTTTTCGAGCAGTTGTCAAGGGTTAGACTACAATCGATGACTGAAATTTCATTTACTCATATTCTTTTGATCATTTGTGCTTCCTAATCAAGTAAGTTAATCTTCATGCAGAATTAAGCCTATTGTTAGTTGGTATCTCTAAAAAAGAAGATAGTGAGTTTCTTAATTTGAGGAAATGATGCTTGGATAATCTTCAAAGCATGTCTTCGTAAAAACAAAAAAAATTCGTGAATTTTCAGCACATAATTTTTTACTTACAGCTTTAAGGTTTTTAACATTTTTGATATGTAAAAATTTTTTGTATTTTAACCCACTTACCGAACAAATGTGCTGGAATTGGTCCGTTTTCTTTAATTTAATTACATCCGTATTGCCAAATGAGTCTCCTCTTAATGTGGGCATGCAAGCGCCAGAGCACATAATTTTTTTTCTTACGGTTTAAAATTTACAGTAATTAGTTACAAATTAGTTTAAAAATTACTACAGGTTTTTAACATTCTTAACATGTAAGTATTTTTCGTATTTTAACCCACTTACCGAATAAATGTGCTGGAATTGGTCCGTTTTCTTTAATTTTATCAGCTCCGTATTGTCGAATGAGTCTCCTCCTAACGTAGGCATGCAAGTGCTGATATAATGGTTTCAGCTGATCCCAAAGAGCTTCCAAATCATCATTAAATGTGTCACTTTCGTATGCCTCTCTCCACATGTCTCCCGTGTCAGAAAATCCTGGATTATAATATTATAAAAGGTATGAAGAAAATCACAAGAAATAATTCTCAACTCTGAACTCACACTCTAAAGTAATTTCCCCTCGAGGACACTTTATTAGGCATTTTTTCCCTATTTTTTAATTTCTATATCGTATTTGTTCATTATGTTAATTTGAATTTTAAATTTTTTTTTATTAAAAAATTTACTACTTAAACATTTACTAATTAAACTTAAATATTTCGTAAATATTTACAGTTTAAAAATTACAGTGTATAAAATAAAAATAATCTACTAGGATTTTACAGAAAATTTATAAGTTTTATATGTTTTTATCATCACCGAAAAAAAATTTAGAACTTTAAAATCTAAAAAAAGGGGAATTCTGTTTTTTTTAAAAAAAACTAAATTGGACAAATCAAGTCCTGTTTTGGACGAACTCAAGTTGAAAACTCTTTTTAAAGTATAAAATAGAGGTATTAAGTATTATTGATATACATTAGGTATTATTAAACAATACTCGAGTAAGTGCAGGGCATTATTATTAACAAAAAAGTATATTTTGAAAAAAATTCTTTAAGACCATATTAGAAACCTTCGTATTAATTATTTTGCGACAGCAACTGGAGAAATTTTTTTATTTTTTAGTTCCCTATTTTTGCTCAATCCGATACTTTGGTTACTTTGTCAAACTTTGAGGGGTACTTAGTTTGTGTTACATTGTATTTTTGATTGCATATTTATGCATCCAGCTAGGCTTGTAAGGGTAAAAAATGCATTCTCGATGAAAAAAACATTACGAAAAATCAAAATATTATAAAACATTAAATGCAACCATCTAGTTTTATTACGAAATACCAACTTGATATGTTCAAATGAAATGGAATGATGCTTTTGTTTTACTAATAAAATTTGGTTAAAAATCTAAACAATGATTTCTTAAGTTATATTTTACCGTAGTGTTTTTTCTTCCCAATTCCATGGGAATATTAAATATTTTATTTACATCAAGAAATTACCTAACTGTGTTTTAGAGATTCTACACTGTAAAATATTTAGAAAAGTGCGTCAAAATAGTTTCGAAACAAGTAATAGTAGAATTTGAAAATCTCTTGTATTCAAAATTGAAACAGCATATACTCATATTCGAGAAAATGCGTACGGAAAGAGAAATATGTTTGTTTGCTGCCGGCAGGATTCAAACTAAAGACCACTGGATCCTTAGTTGGTTGCTCTAACCGCCATAGTTGCGCTATTATTTATTTTGGAGCTATTTTGAAAATGTTTACTCAATTTTCCGAATTTCTTTTTTACAGTGTAATATTACCTCTTAAAAAATGAATAATTTAAAAGCCTGTTCTTAAATATTTTTTTAAAGAAATATTTCAAAGAGAGTCTTTTTAAAATGGTTTTTTAGAGATCCAAAATTCTCTAAGAGATTAATGAAAATCGGTCTTACTTTGAAACTCTAAAATAAGCATTCCTACCATTACTCTTACCATTTTTTCAAAGATTCTTTTTTAAGAAATATTTCAAAGAGAGTCTTTCTAAAATGGTTTCTTTTAAAGAGATTCAGAATCCTCTAAGAGATTAATGAAATCTGGTCCCACTTTGAAACTCTAAAATACCATTCTTACCATTGAGTAAAGCTGCTTCATTGCTAAGATTTACGAATCTTAAATATTTTTCACGAATAGGTTTTCCAGCTGCATCCCGCCAAGCTTTCCATACGTGAGTCAACTCATCATAGTCTCTAGATTTAGTCAATATTCTTTGTAAATCTGAAAAGCAAACAAAAACGTCTAAATCTAATTTAAACTATTATATTTTTGATTAAAAAGAAATGAATAAATCAGAAAAAAGAATGTCAATAACTTTTAACATTTGAAGTTGGGCGAAAGCAGAATAACATTCAATCATAGTGTTCCTAAGTGGTCCTAAGAGTATCGTTTAATATATTAGTGAATATTGTCAAAATTAATTTCACAAACTTTAATTTTTAAATAAAGCATTGTTCATTAAAATCTTATTTAAAAAAAGTTTTACATTAGAAATTTATAAGTTGTAAAGAAATTGAAACGTATCAGATTTATTTAAAAAAAACACGAATGTTAGAAGTCAGTCCCAGCATAGCAATTACGTGACCTTAATAAAAGAAATTGAGCCAATCATAAACCCTGTAAGAACTATGGTTTAAAATATATCAGAATATGATGTGAAACAACTAAAACAATTTTGTTAACACTTTATTGTGAGTTAATCAAGCGTTTACGTACTATTTAAAAGGTCAAATTTAAATATAGATGTACTTATAATTGAATAATCATACACCAAAATCTCACACTTTCACACTGTGTGAGAATTATTATGACTTCCTAAAACCAGTGTTGCTAAAACACCAATGTTTGAGCACTTTGAATATCCAATATTCAAGAAAAACCCTATAAAATATCGCCAGTTGTTGGTTTAAGACCTGGAATGAATTGGCGTGAGTTTGTTTTGGCGTGAGTTTGGAATAAGTTTGCTTTTATTCTTGACACTGATATTCATTAACAGAAACAAAAATTCGCCGTTAAATATATATGTGTATATTTTTAGCTGTACAATAATGATAATATCATTTTAACTAGGAGCCTTCACCCCCTACTCTCTAACACTCGCCAACCAAATTCTAAAAAGTAAATTACAGTAACTTGAATATAATAGTATTTGTATATTGCTGTCAAAATTGCTTTTGTATGTATTCAGGTAATGTCAATAGCATTCGTGTAAAGTTGTTTGAAGTCTGCTAAGTATTGTTTTGTGACCACAAATACATAATCATTCGTAATTTAGGAATTGCCTGTCTTTCTAGGAAAAGTGCCGTCTGATCCGATAGTGTCAGAAGTTTCGACGTTACAGTCAGAATAGCTGTCAGATAGGGTGGTCAAATTGCTATTCCCCATTCTTTTAGAAGTCACGCAATAAGGTATTCTCACGAAAATCTTTCGCATACGGTTGAAAATCATATTATTATGATGTTTAAGAAAATAATAGTTAATGGTGCAGCAAAACGAGATAATATGTAAGATAATGACACACACATTTAATACTGAAGATTATTTAAGGAAAAATGATTCTTGTAAGTTTTTACCACGTTTATATTAACTTGCCTTCGTGTATGTCTGTTCGGGTGGAATTTTGTAATCGATTTTAAACTAACTTCCCGACTACTGCAGACTTCAAATTTGGTACATAGTTCAGAATTGGGTGACAATGCATGAAAATGAAGAGAAAGAAGACATACAAAGTAAAATAAAATCAAAATTCAAGTAAAAATTAATATTTTCGCGATTGTCTTTTGTTGTCGATTCGATTATTTCAAATTAGTGTTACATGTCAGTTGATAAGTTTTGTGTACAGTGAGTGAAAAAATTGAGATTTTGGAAGTGAGTACAAAGAACAAAAAATTTTTTTTTAAAAAAAAACCTCGTTTTTGTAGTGGAGAATAATAATTAAAAAATAAAAATTTGAAAGACGAAAAACGTGGGGCGCATGAAATACATAACAGTACATATACACATACATATACGTATTTTCTTACTTATACACATGCACAGTCACACATGCACAAACATATTCCACATTGAGATACAATTACAATTACAGATATACATACACATATTCTCATGAGCACATATACACACACTAATATAACATTACTGTTATGAATTTCATGAATCCCACGTTTTTCGTTTTTCAAATTTTATTTTTTAGTTATTATTATCTCCACTGCAAAAACGTGGTTTTCAAAAATATTATTTTTTATTTTGATTTTTTATTTATTATAACTAAGTGCTGTTAATTTTCGGTAACTCGAAACTGTTAAGCCCCGTGAAAAACTCCTGGAAGTTGGACTTCACTGTTAAATTATGAAACAGTCTTCCGAAGCTTAGTTAACAGTTTTATATCTTTAAAGTATATTTTCACTTTTATTCTTAACATCTCCGATGCAATATATTTCTTTATTTTGGTTTGATTTCTACTCACGGGTTATTATAATAAAAGTTTTAATTTTATATTCTGGGTGAAAGTTTTTTAACTTTTACTAAACATTTTAAGAGATAACTAAGTGATAACTTCCTCTGTAATGACTAACACCTAAAAGAAATTATCGTTCATAGTCAGAAATTATTAAATTTAAAAATTAACAATAAATACTGTAGTTGTGAAAAAATTCTGTTGTTAAAAATTTCTATTGAAAATTTAAAAAAATTCTATTGTAGAAAATTTTCATTGTAAAAAAATTCTATTGTAAAGAGTTTCTATTGCAATAATTTCCTCTATTCTCTTTCTATAAATTACTTTAATAATTGCATTACTTAGTGATATTTTAAAAGCAAGTATAATGCACAATCGAAAGAATAAGTTCTTCAAAGTTTCCTTTCTAAAAATTTTTACTCAGTACAAGTACGTACAGTAATTATTATAAAGTTATGTACTATTAATAATTTAAAAATAAAAAAGATAGTTGACTGTTTCTAGCATGGCAGAGCCTTATATTATTAGGTATACTTATGTCATTAACTTGATAACTATTTCCAAAGTATTCTCAGAAAGTTTTGGGTTTTTTCCTTCCTTTTTAAGTTATTCATTGCTAGCTGGGCATCTGTGGAATTTTGCTTCTGGCTCTTTTATGGTGAAAGTTAATTTCTTTCTAGAAGTTCTATATACCAAGAAAGAGAGAAAAAAAAAAGATCCTTTAACTCTCGATTACTATGCTGTGCGGCCTCGAACTTCTTGAAGGTCGGTCATTTGGGTTGATATTGCTCTTCTAACTCTCTTTTTTTTTTCTTTGTGAAACTTAGGTGAAAGTTTTCAAACCGTCTACGGGATTTTTTTTCTATTTCGGTTCGGAAAGACATTTCTTAAATGGGGAATTAATAATTTTCTTTTCCATGAATATTGCTCTGAAAACTGTACTTAAATTGCTTGGTTGACTGAAAAAATAATAGTACTGTGCGCAAATAAATTGGACTAACCTGAATAGCTTTTGATTTAATAATCGGATCGGCACTTTGAACACCAACTATTTTATATTTTATTTTAGCTCCACCGTTGAACAGCCGACCCAATTTTCGGTTCATGGCTACTGATGAACTCCGTAGCCTTGTAATTTTGAACCCAAACCAGAAGACAAGGAAACTTCTGGATCAGTACTCCAAGAGGTGTGATTTGTTGTGGGAACATGGTGGACTTTGTAACTCGACAGATTTAACATGCATCAATCACAATTTACTACACGGGGAGTCTTCGACCGGTGGGGATTGAACCCACGACCTCTTGGACACGAGCCCAGGCTTTAACAACCAGGCAATCCCCGCCCAACACCAACTATTACCATTCAAACTTATTAAGACCGGTTGTTTTGTCCTAAAATTGGAGACATTTTTCAAGCTATTTTTTTAACAGGGCAATGCCCAATCTCATGTTTCCTGTACTGTCCAGATTTTCCTTTATATAGAACTTGTTCGACTATAGCCCTTGGGTACTGATTTCTCGGAATCTACATGCTCTAACTCCTATAGATTTAATTACGTGCCATTAAAACTGCAATGCATGCGTCCAGTAGGTATCATTCTATTAATCATATTCCTTTCGTGTGTTGCTATTTAAATGTCCAACAGTATAAGAGTATTTACTATAGAGATTGATAATTTTTTGTAAAATTTGGGTCTACAGTTATGTTCCATGTTTAGGCGTATGAAAGTTTTGTGTATTGTGGCTAAAATTAACTTCGCAATATTAGGTTAAATGTTGGAATTTGACAATTGGCATATGCTAGTTGATGGTGAGGTAAGAAAAGGCTAAAATATGCATACTGCTGCTAGTAGTATTATAAAAGTGCAAACACCTTTCTTCCTTTTTAAGAAGATATTTATAGTAATAACCAAAAATCAAACACGCACTTATATATTTTTTGTGTGTGATTACAATATTTTAAGCTAGTATTGCAGCTATATTAAGAGTACTGCGTGCTTTAAATCCAATTATATTTGAAAGTCATTCCAAGCCTTTGTCACGCAGAACACCTCTAACCACTCGGTCTCTTCGAGTTCAGAAATGGTTTTCCCCCTGTTATTTCGTCTGTAATGGCATAGGACGAAAACAATTTACGACAGTCACTACTGGCTTTTCAAACCGTTCTAAATTAACATTAATACCCAATTCTAAATTCTATTTCTTGCTGATGAAAAGCGCAATCTATCAGTCAAAATGGGAAATATTTTTGTATTGCAGATTTTTCTTTTTTCCCATGGTCCATATAATCTATGTATATCAAGTTTCATCGACATCCACTCGCCATTGAGGGTACTATGTTGATCTAAATAGGATAACTTTGATTATAGCTACCTTACAAATGAATTAAGGTAAAAGCTAAAAGAAACGTGACTATTTACATTGATAGAAGTTATCATTTATTTGACTGACTTTTTAAAAATTTGTTTAAACCATTTAGTTATTTTGCTTTTAAATCTAATAATTAAAAATATCTTAAAACATGAATAAGCTAGTCTTTTCAAGGAAACTTTGAAAGTTGAGGAAAAAATACAATATTCACACATTCGTAATAAATTGTTATGCCCAATAGTAAATAGGTTTATTAAATTTTTGTTCTTTAATTATTTTTTCTTCGTGAATTTCATAGCTTATTTAGTTTTTTTTTGTTTCATATTTTTAAATATTTTACTTAAGAAGTTCTAATTATAACAGAAATTATAGATTAAAGAAGGGATTTAACTAAGCAGTTGGCAACTTGAACTTTTGTTACAAAAAATTTCTAAATAAGACGCAATTTTTTAAATGATTGTCAGAAATATTTCTAATGTTATTTATTCCCCTATGTATAGATATAAAGAAATATTATAAGCTACCTGGCTCTAATGTTAGGTTGCAGCTTTTAGGATTTTCAATTTCTCCATTCTTTCTTGCATCTGGCGAAATGTATGGACATACTTTTGCAGTGCTGTATGTATTTTTCATTTCAGCTTTCAATCTATTGAACTGAAAGTATAAAATAAAATGCATGCTTTTTTACTATAGGAATTTTTTTTCATTATCAAGATCTACTTGTATAAATATATTATAAAAATAACATTTTATTTACTATACATATTTTATAAGATAAAGCTCAATAATATTTTCAGACATAACAGCTGCAAGTGTTTTGGTCTGAGAATAGCACATTTTATTTTCAGAATTGTATTGTTAAATTATGCACTATAGTTGTCGGACTATTATTTCTCAGAAAGGCTTCTATGGGGGTCAGGGAGCTGTCCTCATCTCAGAAAAGTCAAGGGTTTGATTCCTGTTACGGGTATGGAGGCCATTTCTTTCTCTATCTGTTCTATCTGTCTCTTTTATGTTTAAATGGTACCCACGAAAAGACATATACAATATTACCCGTTAAGCACCACGATGGCATATATTTGTCAAATGTGGTGTGCATTTGTTTTATCTGTCTTTTTCATGCTTAAATGGTACCCACGGAAAAGAAATATACAATACTACAAATTTTATTTTATTTTGTTTTATTTTATTTTATTTTATTTTTTTTATAGTATGGAGAAGAAATTCATAGTGTACTGTCATTGATCCTTTCATTTTAAATGTCCGCAATTATTTTGAAAAAAAAAGTGCTAATTCATTTCCCATGACAGGATTAAAAATATAATTATATTTTTTAACTTGTTTCTAATCATTAAAGCGTATCTTTAAGGACATATGAACATAATAAATATTTTTTCCTTAATTAATATTTTTAATAACATTTTTTTTTACAGTAAGCTAGTACCAGATGGCACTTAGTAGCGTACTAGAGTTTCATTAAGTTATTAGTGTTTGAAATTTTTTAAAACTTAAGTTTTTATTGAGAGTAAAACAGGTTTTTGAAAATGTTTACAATGGGTAAATTTTTTGTATTAAATACAATGAATTGATTATTGAAGAATGCATAAAAATAAATTTTATTTTGAAGCATTTATATATTTTTGTTTTGCTTATTATTTTTGTAATTATTTTTTTTTTTACAAATGGATAACTTTTTTATTTTCATAAAGTATTTATCAAAGCAATTTTGCAGATTAAAAAAGGCATTTTGGTTTGAAACTAAAATTTTTTAGTTTGCTTTATCATAAAAAAAACATAAAGCAATTAATTCCCAATATTATTATTTTTGGTGCTTATTCTTTGTTGTCAGAACCTTTAGTGCAAAGAAATTTAAAACATATTCTTTTATTATTAATATGTTAATTCTTAAAATGAATTTTGACGGTTGTTGTAAACATATAATAAGAAATTATAAATACCATTTAGTGTATAATAAATAAAAATTATATTTAATTCTTTACTTTATTCTTTTTCTGCTTGAGAAGCTTTTCATATCATAAGACAAAGAATTTGAGAGTGTACCGGATTGCGGGTATACCGTAGCAATAAAAATATGCCATTCAACATGAAGCATATTTGGAAACAAATTACGAAGCCCGAATTTGGATCTTTTAATTAAATTTTTAATTATGATTTTTTTCAGGTGTATTTCATTTAAAACCCAATTAATTAAACCCGATGTATTTCATTTAAAACCCGCTTTCATTTAAAACCCAAAGGAAGAAAACCAAATAATTAAACGATTCTTAATTATAGAAAAATTAAAATTTCTGATTCTGATGGCAATGTGGTCAGCACTGCGTACTGGCCGCCTTTACTTCCCAGACAAGCTGGCACCCATTGATCTAAAGCTGGGCGGTCTTCAACCTGCCACTGGGGATCGAACCTTAGTCCTTCACAATGACAGTTCAGCGCCTTAACCACTGAGCCATCACTTACATGCACTGAGTAATAAATCGAGTATAGCTTAGTATTTAGTATTTATATCAGTTGGAAAGACTTTCTATTGACATTTCAAATTACTTTATACCTCATTGAGTTTATCTTCTGGCAAAGCTGCGGTTCCTAATACGGAGAGGCTTTTGAACCATCTTCTTAGATGAGTATCGTTGAATGCTTTCCAGGCAAAAGAAGTGGCATTCTTCCAAGCTTCTTTATGGAATAAGGAATATTCTAATGTTTGCTCCAGCTGAAATAAAGCAAAGACAGTTGTCAATCTAATTTTGCAGTACATAAATTTAATGCAAGTTTTTTCAGAAAGTTTTGAATTTTAAAGACGTTTAAGTGTATTGCGGCATTAAAACTGCGTTATACTTTGTTTTCACGCAAATTATTCAATTTTAAAACTGATTATGCCATTCAAAGCGAACAGAAATACGATTAAACTTTAACATCCCATTAAAATTGCTGCAGATTTGCGTTGTGTTACAGTTAAATGTACTATTATAATTTAAATGATTTTTATCGTATCCTTATATATTATGTAACGTATATATTATGTACTTATATTTATTTACATTGAGCTTTTTTTATTTTTTATCAAAACGTGACATTAAAACTTTCGAAACTTTTGAATGTTGTACCAGAATAAAGAAGTAAAAAGTCTAAATAGACTTCAATTAATCCCGTGAAAATTATGGAAATCGCAATAAAAATGTAATTCAAAGTGCGTAAAAAATCAGGGACATTGTTTTTTATTTTTGTTATCGAATTTTAAAAAAAACTCTATAATTTAAAAAACTATATAGGTCTTTAATTTTTAAAATTTATCTCATAATGGTAAAGTGTAAGAAAACTTTGTAGTCAAACATTCGATTAAAAAGTTGTTCTACATTTGTGCAAAAAAAAAAAAAAAATCTCGTCATAAATAGAATATTTTCCTTAGAAAGAGAAATATATATATTTATATTTTTGGATTTTTGAAAAAAAATTTTTTTGGAAAAATAGAGGCATCAATATACTTTATGGAGAATTTTATTTTATTTTATTTTATAACCATCGTCGAACAGCCAATTTTAGGTTTACGATAACTAATGTTCAACTCCGTAGACTTGTAATTATGAACCCAATCCAGAAGACAAGGCAACTTCTGGATCAAGCATTGGGAGAAATTTACCTTCGTGGAGGACTTTTTGATTTAACTAACACGTAGTTGTGTTACTTGAAGAGGAAACCACAAAAACCTCCCACTTTTAGCCTGACAGTAAGTTAACTCTAACCTATGATCCGTCTACTACTTTTTAATAAGGCTTGCGGACATTGTAAAGTGGCAATGGAAACAACAACAACTTTGATATCTTATAAGTTGTACAAAAATCAGACGACAGTCATGGATGGATAAGTCGGTTCTACATTGAATCATAATGATAATAAATTGTTATGGTCACGTGTAAAGTATCCGAGAATTTAAAAATGCATATAATTAAACCACATTTCTTTCTTTGTTGTGTCATAATATCGGAGTCAATAAGTTGCCTCCCTATATCATGAGGAGCATTGAGGAGGTAACATTTTCACAGTAATATGGTTTAGCTTACCGTGCAAAGTACTGTAGAAAAATAAGCGATATTGCAACTCAATGTTAATGACTTTTATCGTTATGCCTTAATAAACATTGAGGTATCAGAATTTGAACGAAATATGGTTTAACTTGCAATGTGTAAAGTGTTATAGCAAACAATGAGCAGTTCATTGCAAATAATAATGAGTAGTATCATTATACCATAATAAATATTGAGGGGGCAGAATTTATGTGACAATATAGTTCAATTTGGTATCGTTTAATTGTTGCAGAAAATATGCACGGCATTGTGGTTCTACGAGATTCAATTTATAATCTTACATCTTTAGGATTTCTCAATAGACAAAGTAAATGCGAAAAATATCTGTATTAAATACTTCAAAATGGAAGTTTAATTTACCATATTTTTCATAGAAAATAGACAATCTAGTGTTTCCTTGTATTTTAACATTAAGAAATAAGTTTTCATTACTGTTTTCCCCACTTAATAAATGGTTTTATATGTTAAATTAAACGACATTTAAATACGAAATATATTTAAATTGTAGTTAATTTTCTCCTGTAAATTTCACAACACAACTTACCAAAGTTTAACTAATTTTCTTGGGATTAATATTTTGTTTCGGAAATGAATTTATCGAGAAATTACATTCATTAAGGTTATTGCTATTCTCTCTGCGAAGTGGACATCATAACAAAGGATTTTATTTCTTTGTGCACCAAATGTCCAATTTTCGGAGAGGTCTTTCTGCACAAAAGAAATAATTGCGCTGACCTTCGTAATTATTTCCGATTTGCTGTGCCAAACAAGAAAAGGTAGTTACAATGTTTCTGTATTATCTTCTTCATATCAATTCACTGCCGGTTCTGTTAGAGGTCAAGCTTTGGGTTGTGGTCATAAAATTTATGAGTTCTCATTATGTTGTAGGAGAAGAACCTTGGGCGATCACATCGGTCGTTATTCTCCTACTTTCCGATGCTTTGTTTGACTGAAGATCGATAATAGGAAAGATCGATTTGATAAATGATAGGAAAGTCTTCAATAAATTGAAATGGAGAAGAATGATTTAGTTTCACTCATATATTAATCAAGGATATAAAGTTAGATTTAAAAGATTTTCTGAGAGTTGAAATTAAATAAATATGGTTTTTTGCTATTTTATTATCCAATGAGAGTTTAATAAATTACTATTTAACGTAAATGCCGTTTTTTTTTTCATTAGAAAAATCATTTTAAATAATACGTAATGTGAAGCAAGGTTAAAACGATTTACGTTATAAATGTAATAAAGTTTTTCTTTTCTGAATTCAGTTTTTTATACAAGTTGCTTACTTAAAACCTTATTGTATCTATTTTTATTATTTATGTAATTTTATAAGATTTAATTAGTTAATTAAAAAAACAAACGAGCAAATAAGAATTTTTAAGAAATAAGGGATGTGAAATACTTGGAAAAAGAAAACCTTTTTTTTAAGCTAGTCCCCAAAAAATAAAGCTATGTATTACAGCCTGAAAAAAAGTATTATTCCTTTTTATGTAAATAAGATTCCTATTTATGTTCAAAATTCCTCTCTTCTTATGTACAAAATATACTATTTTAATCCAAAACATATTTTGTTAAAGAAACTTCTTTGACAAGTTTTCTTAGAAAACACCTCTTTTTTGTTTTTAAAAGTAGGATTGCCAGAAATTTTGTGATTGGTTTGCCGGCTTTGAGTTTAATGCCGCAAAAATAGGATTTGACTATACTTTCCGGAAGTCGGGGGAAAAACGAAAATACATTATATACTTTAAGTGACAAGGTTAATGGTGTTATAAATAACATTTGCCAATAAAAAAAGGAAAAGTTAGAGCAGAACAGCAAGAAGAGAAATTACGGGGTTATTTCGACCAAACACATTTACTCAATACATTTGTTTCACAATTACGATAACTATTTACACACCAATTTCTGCATAGAATTTCATTTTTAGTGGTTTTGTTTTACGTTTTAACTTGCAATAATTATATTTAATTTCCCCCAGTAATGTAATGCATTAAAAATGAGATAAATATGAAATTATAAGTTTGGAGAATGTAATTCTAGTTCACTTCCTTTCAAAAGTACTTTTTAATGAAATAATGCATACAAATTGTATATCTAATATATATAATTCTCTTACGTGGCTCCCAAATTTTGGCTGTATTTCTTTTCCGCCGGTGGCAACGTTTGCGTTGTTTTGTTTACGTTACTATTTCTCTTACACGGCGAATCGACCAATGACTGCCGCTAAAACTGTCACATGCCAAATCTAGCTGAGGTGGCTCAACAGATAGCGCTTTTAAAAACGGAAACTGAAATAACCAGAGAGCATCAGCTGCGGCAATCTCATACTATTAAGATAGGCAGAAGTGAGTAGTCTTTGTTGATAGATCTCTATTTTAGTATTTTGTCGAAAGCGCTTTTTTTCACGAATTTATATATTACAAATTTATTTGATGATTTTTGATTTAAATCACGAATTATACTATAGCACATTTCCAATAGACTAAACGAATTACATGTCATTTATTTGAATTCAAATTTATTTTAATGACTTATTTACTAAAAAGATGTAATTTGTTTTAAAAATTTTTTTTATATGGATTTGAATGATTGTTTTGAATTCTTAGAATTTTGTGTATTTGCAATGTACCTAAGTTAGTAGCGAGTGAAGCGAGTTTGATTTGCGAAGCAGACCATATAAGATTGCGTAGCAATTTTTTGGGGTTGTAGAGCGTCAGCGAGCAGGCTGCGCACCCCACTAGTTTACTTTAATGTAACTGATACTTTATTAAATTTAATCTCGTTACGATAAAGATTTTAACATCGTAAAGATTTAACTCGTAAAGATTTTAACATTATTCATAAAAAAAAAGTATTAAATGCTTTTCTCACAGGGAAGAACATCCTTAATAATTTGTAAAGATCTGACTGACAAAAATTCTGACAAAAGTTCACATGACTAAAATATTTTCATAGCTTTTCCGGAGTTAAAACAATTTTAAAATCTCATATCATGCTTTATTTCTTTGAATATTAAAATAGCAATTCACCTAAGCGTGGGTCATAAAACGTAAACAAAGGAGTAGAAAATAAAAGTGGCCAAGTTACAGTAACCCACTAAAATGAACCGTCAAAGGCATACGAATTCGTGAGAAAAAACGTTCTGGTTCGCTGATTCGAGGCTCTGAAATAAATACACGGGCAAAATTCTCTCTCATATGGTGCAGCTTTGTTCACATTCGGTTAGGTGCTTTCAATCAAACAGAGCAGATTTAACGCTTTGATGGCTTTATTTTTAATATCACATTCTTTTTAGAAGGTCGATGCTTAGACTGTATGTGTTTACTTCCGGATTTACTTTTAAAATAAAACTTCTTAAAGGTAAAGGACTGACTTTAATTTCAAATTTTATTTCTTTGAAGAGGAAAAAAACAAGTAGACACTTGCACAGCATTTTTAAGGCTTAAGATTCAAACAAATAGTAGTGATTCCAACGAATGGGTACAAACAAAGTGTGAAAACTATTTTTCCTTCGAAGTATCTATGAGTTTTGTTTCATTGATTTTTAAAGAGTTGAATTTAAGTTTTTCAATTTATAATAATGATGAACTCCAACGCTATATTGCAAACTATGATGTATTG